CAAGCTGCAACTACAAAATGAAGTGAAATTAACATAATGTAGTGATTTATAAGCCTTGTATCATCCTCTTAGTATTGTTTGTTTGGATCTTCCCATCGATGTGTTTAGGACTGCAACTGGTCAGTCTCTGCTTGTATCATCCTGTTGTTAATATTCAAGATTGGGTTTTGATATGAATATTTTGGGATGCAAACCCTTAGAAATGAATATTATACCCCTCGCCTTTCTGGACTCGATAGTTCACGGGATAGTTCATTGCTAGTGATATGCTTGAAGCTAAATCGATTTCGCGGTAACGAACGAAAGCCAATGACACAATGACATGATAAGCTATTCTAATCTGTTGTCCCAGGCCCCGCTAACTAGATGAAGAAGTCCAAGGCAAGTAGGGGAATATATATGTATTCCGTAAGCAGCCGAGTACAAGCAATCGAATAAGGGAAAAAATCAAGCGCATTTATACAGCAACAATTTGTCCTTGAGCATCATTAATAAATAGCACATACACAGAAACAATGGACCAATAGCGTCTAAGATAGTTTACAAGTGGGAAATATGACGTGAAGGTAAAAAGAGCACGTTTGGCGCGAAAACAGCTAAATTCAAATTTTCAAAATAAAATTACAAAACTAAGCCATTTACCAAGTTCTGGGGATTTGACATCCCCAACAGCTAGTTAAAGCGGTAGTTAGCGTATTCATGTCTTTAAGTGGGCATGAGCATACTCAGATGATGAGTTCGTAAGCACGCGTCCCTGCGTATTCTGGTAGTTTCAATCTAAATGTGATAAATAATACTTTAATAACAACGTAGTTCAATTAAAAGACATAATCACTAAACATGTTTTCTTTTTAAATCAACTAATCAATTAATAATTACGGAACTTCATACAATGGAAAGAAGACAGCCACCTAATACACTGGGAATATTTTTTTTATTAATTGAGTTATGTCAGAATGATAATCTCTCGATGATTCATAGGAATTAGTCACATGTCTTTGGACTGAAAAAAGATACTTCTATTTTTTTAAAGTATGCCAGTAAGTGATTAAAAATGTGTTTACTTGTGGTTCAAAATAATTTTCGAAAGGGAATAGATGGATTCAATTTTTTAACTATTTGAAGAGTTGCTTTCACGAATTAGATTTTATTGTCATAAATGTGGATACGCTAATAATGCCTTCAAAACCATGAAGTTTATGTTCATATAATGTAATAAGCACAATTTCTAAATAACAGTTTACATGGTACACAAAGTAGATATAGTCACACTAATCAATTTTGCAAAAAACCAACTAACATTTTCCTTCTCACTTATCTGGATTGCAGTTGAGAGGAATCCCATTTATGACATTTAGCAGATATCTACAGTTTGAGCTAAACGATGTAACTGTTCCCTACAATCGTCCAAAAGTCTACTTGTATGGAATTATATTCCTTCAGTTTTTAAATATTTCATTTACGAATTGAAATAAATACCTCCAAACTGCTATATAACTTTTGTTTATTTGCAACTAATGACTGATAATAATTTTTGAGTTTCATGTTGAATATTTTTTGAAGGTTCTACAAGTCGCCAGTATTTAATAATCTGGAAGTACAACAGCGAGTCAAGTTCATTAACACTTAAAACAGAAAGTGGAATTCAGTGCTTGTGTGCAAGTAAATTAATACTTATTATTATCGTATTAAGTCATTCAAAAGTCTAAATGGTACATACTTTTACTATAAGTCTGCTAGGAATAAACATTATATCTACTATTCAACAACATAAATGTTTCAACTACCAGGCTTTGGTTACAACTATAATACTACTCACTTAAAATTACGAAAGGCTAAGGAAAATTCAAATAGTCAAAAAAAGATCGTTCGAAAATTGAATCTGTTTGAAAAAAAACTAGCAACTTACGGTAAGGCTATCGCTAATACCATATTCCAATTGCATCTTTTTGGCTTATTGTATTCTCATCACAATTTCTGTGTAATATTTTAAATAATTCCGTATATGCGTATGATATATAGACAGATGTTCACTATGCTTATAGTAATAATTGATGGAAAATTGTGTTAATATCCGAATCGAGTTCATATTTATCCTAGAAGTTCCATTTTATTGAGAAGATTCAGTTATGAAACGCTCTGTATAACGTGTTAACCTTACTTTAAAAGCAATAGAAATATTCATTTAGTTGAATCATGTGGAATTAAATTTTTTAATATATTTTTCTCATCGTTGACTAGAATCAGTTAGATGCCTACCAAATGCTAAGAACCAGTGATCATCCATTTTGTTAAAGCCGAAAATTACTTAGCAGTAACTATTATCATCCTGATATGATCAAACCTAACATCTAAAAGTGCTCTAATAAACATCTGATGTCGTCTTATGAAAAAAACAATCCACATATTTTGCTGTTCCTAAACTCGACGAAATGAAATCATTTGAAGCCCAAATATTCTAAAATGATTCAACGGTGAAAAGTAATTCAGAATACCTGGTCATCTATTGGATATTTTATGATGTCGGTATGATATCACCATTTCTGCCTAATACCAATGACATAATGTTTCACTAGATGTAAAGGAAATATGCATTCTCTTGAATTTAATATTCATAATGTTACTACATTATATTATAACACGAAACTAATGGCCTTATGTTTTCTTTATCAACCTATTTTAAACTTATCCTTGAGTTTATTGAAAAATTTTACGGACGGTTGATCACCCATTTTAAGATGTATTAAGCTGTAAAGTAGGGAAATGTATCCCTACATTAGTCAAATTTGTTGTGGGCAAACTTTTGCTACCCTCAGTATGTTGTTGGAAAGGGATAAAAGAGGGAATCACTTCAACATGTCAGGAGGTCCTGGGCCACAAGAAGCACCATCACAAGGAATGGATCACTGTTGATACACTGTATAAAATTCAAAAAAGGAGGAACAAGAAGGCAGAAATCAATACCAGACGAACCAGAGCGGAAAAAGCCAAGGCACAAGCCGAATACACAGAGGCGAAGAAGCAAGTGAAGAGGAGCATCAGAACCGACAAACATAAATATGTGGAAGATTTAGCAATGACGGAGGAAAAGGTTTCAAGAGAATGAAACATGAGACAACTGTATGACACAACAAAGAAACTCGCTGGAAATTACCGTAAATCAGAACGAACAGTGAAAATCAAGGAAGTCAAATTAATCACCGACATTGAAGAATAACGAAACAGGTGGGTAGAGCACTTCAAAGAACTCTTGAATCGACCAGCTCCACTGAACCCACCTAACATCGAAGTGGCACCCACAGACCTCCCAGTCGATGTTGGTCCACCAGCAATCGGAGAGATCAGCATGGCCATTAGACCAATCAAGAGCAGTAAAGCAGCGGGACCAGACAATATTCCGGCAGAGGCGCTGAAAGCAGACGTGGCAGTAACTGCCAAGATACTCCACATCCTCTTCAGCAAAATTTAGGATGAAGAACAAATGCCAACAGACTGGAAATAATGAATTCTGATCAAGATACCAAATAAAGGCGATCTCAGCAAGTGTGAAAACCACAGCGGTACCAATCTCCTCTCAATGCCAGGAAAAGTCTTCAACTGGGTGTTGTTAGACAGGGTGAAGGATTCCATGGACGCTCAACTTCGAGACCAACAGGCTGGATTCCGTAAGGATCAGTCGTGTACAGACCAAATCGCAACTCTACGTATCATTGTGGAACAATCAATCGAATGGAATTCATAACTCTACATCAACTTCATTGACTACGAGAAGGCATTTGACAGTGTGAACCGGAGAACATTATGGAAACCTCTTCGACATTACTGCGTGCCTGAGAAGATAGTCAATATCATACGGGATTCCTATGATGGATTATACTGCGAAATCGTTCACGGAGGACAACTCATTGACTCGTTCGAGGTAAAGACCGGTGTTAGGCAAGGTTGCTTACTCTCACCGTTTCTCTTTCTCCTGGTGATCGACTGGATCATGAAGACGTCAACATCTGGAGGAAAGCACGGGATACAGTGGACATTTAGGATGCAGCTGGACAATCTAGACTCCGCGGATGATCTGGCTCTCCTATCACACACGCAACAACAAATGCAGGAGAAAACGACCAGTGTAGCAGCAGCCTCAGCAGCAGTAGGTCTCAATGTAAACAAAGGGAAAAACAAGATTCTCCGACACAATACAATATGCACCAGTCGAATTACACTTGGTGGAGAAGCTTTGGAGGATGCGGAAACCTTTACATATCTGGACACCATCATTGATGAACACGGTGGATCAGATGCAGATGTGAGGGCGAGGATCGGCAAAGCAAGAGCAGCATATTTACAACTGAACAACATCTGGAACTCAAAACAATTGTCAACCAACACCACGATCATAATTTTCAATACGAATGTCAAGACAGTTCTATTGTATGGGGCAGAAACCTGGACAACTACGAAGGCTATCTTCCAGAAGATACAGGTGTTTATTAACAGTTGTCTACGCAAGATATTTCGGATCCGTTGACCAGACACTATCAACAACAACCTACTGTGGGAGACAACAAACCAGATTTCAGTGTAGTAAGAAATCAGGAAGAAGCGCTGGAATTGGATAGGACACACATTGGGGAAGTCACCCAACTGCGTCACAAGGCAAGCCTCACATGGAGTCCTGAAGGTCAAAGGAAAAGAGGAAACCAAAGAACACAACGCCGAGAAATGGAGACAGACATGAGAAGAATGGACAAAAGTTGGATAGAACTAGAAAGGAAGACGCATAACAGAGTGAGTAAGTTGGAGAATGCTGGTCGGCGGCCTATGCTCCATTGAGAGTAACAGGCGTAAGTAAGTAAGTAATGTATTTTGCAGTGATATTATTATTTATTATTATTATTTTCTCCACTCAAAGGTAAATTATTAAAATTTTTAAAATCAGTAACTCATATATAGCATGCTTTAAACTGGAAAATTAGTTTTTGAGTCTGTTCAATGCATTCTGTGAGGTCCAGATGTTTTTTCCTGTGAAATTGCAAGAAGAAATTTATAATTCTTAAATAAAAACATTTGTCTAGTCTGTTCATTAATTTAACTATCAAATGTAAATAATTATGAATTTAATGTAGTTTCATATAATTGATAAAATTTAAGTAAATAGAATTCATTTTAAAAATGTAATTTAATTTGTTATGTCTTGAATGACTCATAGTTTTGTTTATAATTACGTTTGTTTACGTTAAAGGTTACAAACCACCCTTTTCAATATTTTCTTCTGGGTCCGATAATCATCTTTCTAGATGGGAGCGTAAAGGTCAAACCCATTTCTCATATGTGTATGTTTATTTTGTTAAGTATTTAGTGGTCAGTAATGTGTTGAATAATATTTTTTTAAAGTCGATTGAAGATGTTGTGATGTTTTTTTTAATTCTTATCAATGTAAGACCCATTGTTGAAAATTATAAAAGGGGTTTAAAAAAATTAAATTCTTATTTTGAGTTAAATAAATGATAGATTTCAGATATATGTTTCCCAAATATGAAACTAAAGTGTAGCCATTTTAAATAGTAACTGTTTATACATAGGTCGTATATCAGTAATGTAATATCGTATACTGTGTAATGTATAAAGTCTTAATCTGGGTTTTGAATGTCCTGACAGTATAGAATCTACTAGTATTTGTAAATTATTTCAAGTGTTCCGAAATTTACTTGTTTATATTCTTTGATAGAAGTGTCAATACCAAGGTTTGATTTGATAATATCGAATAAATTGAGCATTGAGCATATTATCAGTAATGGAAAGGACGAATTTGCATGATCCGAAATAGAAAATTAAGTTTGAGACGTTTTCTGACTTATTGTAAATCACTACGAATTAAATCAACACAGGTTTAGACAGTACGAAGGAAGCAAAGTAAAATATTTTCAGTACCAACAAACTAAAATTGGTCTAATCATGTTAATGTCATGTTATTTCGTCTACGGCGATTCTGCGTGTGACCTGTTGTATATATATGTCATATATACTACTTGGTTGCGTGACAAACGTCTTGTCAGTTTCAAGCATTTTAGGAGCCAAATTGGCCGATTATTATTCAACAAAACAATATTTCATTTTAGTATATTTTCAATAATATTCATAGGAAAGTTATGGAATAGTTTGATGTCAATTATATTTTTCTGTTCCTTTTGAAACTACAAAAAATGATCCCAATAAAATGGTTTATAATCTCAAACAGCGCTCTAAGTAAACATGAAATCACTCTATTGGAAAAAGTTTCAATTTGTCCAGAACTCGGCAAGAGGTATACTACCAAAATAAGAATTGAGGTGGATGGGTAAAAAGAAAAGTGTATTGACGAATTTTGTATGTATTGTTCATCAGAAGATATCATTTGTGGATCTCTCTTAATGTGATCGATTGTAAATCATATCACTTAAAACTCCAAACACTATCTTTTGAAATCTATCAGACTAATAAATAGAGACAGAGACTCATCTGCATGACCTGAACTGATAGAAAATGTTTCTATTGGCCAGTTTTGTGTCTAGATTTGAAGTCAAATTGACTTTAATCGTTTTTGTGCAACACTTGTAATATAAATTGTGGCCACATTATTCAGTGCAACTTGTAAGTTTATAGACAAAGTCAAAATTTTAATTTGGACTTTTCTAATTCTGAAGAAGAAACCGTTCATCGGTAATCCTATCACAACTAAAGAACTGATACATTTACCATTCTCATAATCTGTATCACTGAAACAGTATATTTTAGCCATGAACGTTTCACATCAGTAAGTCGTCCCAAAATATGAGTACTATCGAGTTTATTATTCTCATTACAACTTCAATTTTCTATTTTAGTCAACAAGAAGAGATGATACACGAATCAATTGATACAAAGTTATCAGAATGGTTACAAGACAAATTACGTACACAAGCTGTTCAAACTAAAGAAATAGAAAAATTAAAAGCATCATTACCCAAAACGTTATTATTACCCAATAAAAGTAATATGTATTCAGCTAAACGGTCAATGACTGCCAATACATATCCTCAAGATAAATTAACAACTAGAATAAAATCTAGACAGAATACGGAGGTCATGATCAGCTATCAAAACTCAAATGCTTATAATACAAAAGAAATAGTACTTAACAAGGTAGAAAAATTTGCTATTATTTCGCTTCAAAAATTTATTTCTTAAAATTACATTGTTTTACATACTTGGATGATAATATTTAATAATAATAACGGTCGTAAGAGTTATACCTTGACTTTGAAGAGATTGTCATTGCATCTTCGTATAAAAAGATATTATTAGCTAGTTATATATTTCATAAATGGAGTATGTCATTAAGGTATCAGAACAACAATTTGTCCAATTACCAGTTATTCGTTAAACAACTGAAGAAGAACTTCCCTATACTGATTCGATCAATACTAATGAATAAAATACATCTACAGTTTTATTTTACTCTATATGCATTTTATAAGTCAGAATGAATTGTAAAAGTGAATCGAAAATTGTTTAATGAAAATGTTACCAATTACTCTTGAGTAATACAAATACAATGAGTTCATTTCTATGAACTGTTAAATAGCACTGTAATGAAAGGGAACTTATTTATCTTACACCAAAAAGTAAACACTTCAGAGTTGTTTTTTTAATAATTTAATATTCATCAGATCCATACATTAAAAATTTGAATATGAGATGTAAAAGTGTGTTTGAAATAACTACTTTCTTCAATTTTATGAATAAGGTAAAACCAATCTAAAACTAGATATAAGTCTTTATATTTTTTGTAATCTTAATTAGTAATACTATGATAAAAGGATCAGATTTCCTGATTTACATTCAATTGATTTATTCATGTTAAAACAAAAATTCTGTGATAACATTTTGATAACAAAATGGTTGAATTTAGTTATTTTATTATTTTAAACTATTATAGACTTTTTGAAAGGGAAGTATATTTGTAAACAATATCTAAACTCCATGTCTTATTCACCTAAAATTTACATCGGTTATAGATATTTGTTTGAACTAATTAATAATTATATATAGTTGGAATCATGAAACAATTGAAGCTAGACCACCGTAGAAAATCTGGAAGCACTAGACGGCCGTTTTGCCCTATTGTGGGACTCATCAGTGGCAGTGCGCGTCCACGATCCCGCTTCGCGAGATTTGAACCCAGGACCTATCAGTCTCGCGCCAGAGCACTGGACCGATAGACCACCACTGATAGACCCCCTTATTAAATAATTAGTTAATAGTGAATTAAACAGGTAATCAATTCAAAAAATTAGAAAAGGATTTGGAGACGGAAGTAATTAAAAAAAGAAAAGAGTTTATAAATCTCGAAATAATTTTAGATATAAAAGATATTATCTATTTAGTGGATTCGATTAAGTATTTGTTAAGCAAGATAAAAGAAAAACAAATGCAACTTATTCTTTCAATCTATTCCTTCGTATACCAGGGTAAGCTACTCATGTCTAGAATTATGGAGTAGAATTTTAGACCTTCAACTCAGGACAACAGATGAAATACTATCAACATTATTTTCTATTCATTTCTTTTTAGCCTATGTAATTTATATGTTAGACACTCAGTTCGATTGATGATAAATTTATTATACGAATTTCTTAGTTCGGTTAAAAGTGTAAAATTCCAAGTACAGTCAGTTGCAACTAACTAGTTATCTCTTACACATCCAATCAGCAGTTTGTATATTTAACTAACAATTCACCAGATGCGGGTAATCTGTTCTTGATTCTTTAGTAAATTAATAGACTTGAGGTCATCAAATTGACACGAGGTGCAATGTATTCCTATAGAGATAATATCATATGAGTGATTAATTTACCAAGATACTTTCTTGATAACTAAATATTCTTCTGCCTTAAATCCAAATAAAACTGACCTCTCCTAAGATTCCAGTGTTTTGTAACCAGGGTAACTATTTAACTGCAATACATGGCTAAGTTGAAATAGCCTTCAGTACTTCAAGGATTTTAATGTAACTATCGATGTGGAGTTTTCTAATTTAACTTGTTAATTAGCTTTGTTATACATTAATCTTGAGAAGTAGAAATTTAGAAAATTTGCAGTAGATAAAAAGAAATAAAAAGGCTAGGAAATTACATGCAGCAAGTAATTTTCCAAAGATCTTTCAACATTTTCTGCTTGGAACACGTTTTACAAGTGAATTTTTTCCCCAACTATGATTTGCTAAACGTTGAGCATGCTTTTCACCTCCATCAACTACACTATTCATGTTTATTTCTGAAAATGCAGTTCAAAAGTGATGTAACTGGGGAAGTGGTAATACAATTAATATAAATTCTCAAGACTAAAATTTGTTATCCATTTTACAAAGAACCAATAATTAGTTCAGGAAGCAAAGATGGCCTACTAAGTTTTGACAGCCTTGTATCTTTCATCTGTTCAAATGATAATATGAATCCAAGCACATTAAGTTCTTTATGAAACAAGTTTCTCATTGTATACCTCAAAACTGTACTACATAATTAAATAAAGAACAATAAGAGACTCTGTTATTACAAAGTTAGCCAGTACTTATCACCCAGTTGATGTAAACGTAGCATTTTATGATTACCCATCAAGTTCTATTTATCCTTCTCTGTACCTCTATATCCAACCCTGTACATATAGCGGAAGCCATAAAAATCCACGTAAATAAACGTCCGTACGACTTCTTTGTTAACTCCAGTCATTTGCTTTATTCCTAGTTTACACTTTTCCATTTTTATTCACTTACCTACTTATCCAGCTTTTGTCATAAACCAATTAACTACTTTATTATCAAATCAATATTAGTTATGGATAACATTGAAGTTAGATATTTATTTTTATTTGATTAACAAGAGTTCGACTATTGTTAATTTCATATTTAAATGTAAATTCAAGATGGGTGGGTTATTGAAAGGAAATATTTCCTTAACCAATTATCTTTTACTGTCTGAATGGAAGTTATTTACTTGCAGAAATAT